CGCACTTTTTACTTTCTCTTCTATTACGTAGTTACATAGTACAAAGAAAGTATTGAAATGCTGCAGTAAAAAGAGGCGATTTTTCGTCAGAAAAACTCGTATTGTGGTCTCTGATATCGAAAAATTTCTTAATTCTTGATCTCACATGTGTTAAATTACTTCCAACACGTGTAGCCAGAATCTACATTTTGTGCAAAACGCATGCCTGTCCGTCTGTAATTGGACAACGCTAGCGCCGAAACCGTTCATACGATTTTCTCCAAAATCTGAATTCCCCGATCGATTTGTCCGAACTCGAGGCGTGCGATTTAAAAAGATATATTTTTATTTTTGGAATGAAACCTTAAGACTTCCAAACATTTTTGATAATTAGACCGACATTTTTGATTATTTGTATTTTCGGAAAAAGCAAAGAACGTTTAAAAAATATTGCAGGTATCATTTTCCTTGAACACTGAATTTTTTTAAATTGCAAAAGTTAAAAACGTTTTTGGCGTCTTCCTACACCTGCAATTTTTTTCTCCTTAATGAAATCTGTTTTTCAAAGACAAATCTTTAAATACGGTCATGTACAAATTTTCGAAAATATGAGAAGTTTCATATATTTTTGCCTGAAATAAGGCACTTTTAAACAATTATTTTCTCAAAAATGTCTTCATATGTTTTTTATTTTTCTCAAATAGAGCAACTTACGCTTATAAAAATTGTGCAGGTCCCATTTCGGTTAACTCTCTGTGTTTTCGAAAATTGGAGAAAATTAACATTCCAAAAGTACTATATTGCTGATTGAGTTTTTTCTTTAATGAAATCTGTTTAAAAAATCATATCTTTAAATAAGGTCTTTTACATTGAAAAACCTAATATTTTACCTGCAATTTGTGCTTAAATTAAAGGCAATTCATTTTTTCTTAAACATTTCTGTAGTTACAAAAAATCCAAGGACGCTTAAAAGTGGAGCAGGTCTCAATTTGGGGAACTTTCTATATTGTAAAGCTTAAATTAATGCCAGATGTTGTAGCACCAGTAATTTATTTACGTATGCCACATTTTACATGTAAATTAATAAAATACTACAAAGGAAATGCAATTATAACTTTAATTATACAATTAATAAACACAATTAAATTTGTTTAACTTATGAAATTACCAGACGGCGCTTCCTTCCCGAAATATCGAATAATAACTTGCCATATCAGGTTAAAGAAAGAAAAGGGACTGGATACAAGTATGGAAACAATGTTTTATTACGAGAGATTTCGTTTGAAAATGTGTAAGAGAAGACCATGGTCATCTCCTCCTCCTATACGCTTATCGATGGTAGAAATGTTCACCATAACTTTGAAATAGGAATACCCTGTTAGAGAACTTAAATGTAACACATTTAAGAAAGAGCATTACTCTATTGTAATACTAATTGTATCACTGTAATATGAAAATTTCATCTGGGCTGGCGATTTCAAAATCTGTCGAAATTGTAAATGCTACAAAGAAATTTGGGTTGTGAAATTTCAGGAAAGGTATTGTTAGAGACCTAAGAGAAGAAAATTTATTTTAAGAAGTGAAATTTATGTCATTGGAGATACTCTTTCACATAATTACAAAGATCGAAAATTGATACAAAATCGCATAAATATTGCCCAATCCTCATACCCTTTATGTTTACATGCACTTTTTACTTTCGCGAATATTGTATACTTGTGATTTTATGGTTTGTCTGGAGAATATATATTTCTCTTATGTTTCTACAAACTCGAATATCATTTCTTGTATTTAACACCTACGTAGCAGTCCAGTTAAATGAATGCATAAAATACAGAATTGTATGCACGGTTGAGCAGTATTTAAATACGTGTATTTGAAATACGTATTTTAAATACATTTTGTATTTGAAAAACTGTATTTTTGAGTTTTTTGAGAATCTATTTTAGAGATGTATTTAAATACATAAAGTAGATGTATTTAAAAAAATTAAATACTTAAAATATAGACGAAGAAGATAGTTTAACCGGGGATAATTTATTTTTGTTGGATTCAGCTAGTAAATGCAACTAGTTGAAACAAAAATAGAAGCTCCTTACAGCTGTTGAATTTGAATTGTCTTCACTTTTCAATGATAAATCTAAATCATTAAAAATGTGGAACAATTTTCCGGCAATAGAAACGCGTTTAGTCGTGTCAACACTAAGTTATGTTCATCCACGCCAGTTCAAGACTGTTTTCCTTTGCATGTTTTATACATTCACCATCTAGGGGAATTTCTGAACTACGTTTCGTGAAGTCACGAAAGTTAAGCAATTCGAGACGTCGCGGGTTTCCGGTTGGGTGACCGTCAGGGAATCTCGTTATCTAACGGTACTGACTGGATTAAAGGAATATTAATACAAAACACTCGATGCCATTTCATGATTTCGTTGATTATAGAACGTTGTTACGAATTGTAAAATAATATTTAAGAAAAGAAGATTATGTACATTGTCGGTATCCTTGACACACAGGACGTGTTATTTTTGGGGTCGAAAAATTTATTATTTTCTCTTCTTCGTAATAAACATGAGAAAGTAATTAGTGGTGTTACGTACGTACTTTCTCATATTATTTGTAACTTTTGAAATTTTAGAAGGCACAGAGAGTTCTACGAAAATGAAACCTGAGTATTTTACAAGAGTACTTGCTCTTTGCGAGAGGAAAACATTGAAGCTGTTTTGGAAAAAGAAAAAAAAAACACGAAAAAAACAACATAACTTGACTTTAGTTCAAGCACAAATTACGCGAAACCTACACGTACTTTCAAAAAAAATTGTACTTGTTATTATTTAAAGATATAATTGTAGAAAACATTTCATTAACGAATAAAACTTAATCAACATTGTACATTTACTATATTATTTTTTGTTGCAATTTTTGAAAATACATAGAGCCCTGGAATTGGGACCTCCGCCATTTTATAAGTGTTCTGTGCTCTCTTAGAGGAAAAAATTTAAAGAAACAAATTGGAGCCGTTTTTATAAGATAATTATTTTAAAATTGCCTGTATTGCAAACAAGATTAGGGAACTACTTACATTTTCGAAAATGTGTATGTGGCTTTTTTAATAATCTATTTTTGAAGAACCGATTTCGTTAAGGAAACATCTTTCTTCAATACTGCAGTTGTAGGAAGACGAAGAACAAATTGAAAACTTTTGTAATTTTGAAAATTTGGAGTGACCAACGAAACGAGACGTTAGCGTTTTTGTGTCTCCATTTCTGTATCCGAAAATGTGAAGCCTTTTTTTTATTTTTTACGTTACAGCTTCATGCCTTGTGCCTTCATGCTTGTAGCCTTCAAAATCAAACTACCTGTCTCTAATTCGTAGGACCTGTCCGTCCAGATCGATTGGGGAATATCACATTTAAATAAAATCAACTCAACGGTTTAGGCGCTTACGGATGGAATGACAGACGTTTAACTGTAAACTAGTTTTTAGCCATCAACGCCACACAAAACTTGGATTCTGACTAAACAACCCTTTAGATGTAGTTATTTATACACAGGAGGATTTATATATACACAGGAGCATGATTTATTCACTTTTTCGGGAGCAGCGCTCATAGAGAATTTCTGGCCTCTAAATCGTCACATTCCGCGTAGAAAGTACTTAAGAGGCGAGAAAGTAAAAGAATGATTGTATACGCGTGTTTCCAACATTTAATTTAAATATTTAATTTATTTAGAGGTCAACGTCAAGTCATCAGTTTTGCTTTTATCAACTAGACTAATATGAAGAGATGTCTTTATAGAACAAAATATTTCTTAAGAAATGTGGTTGTGACATACTATATTAAATCGTGCGAATGTATATTTTACTATAACAAATTCAAGTGTCTCTGTAATATAAAAGCCTTTGCGCGCATATTGTTGAAGGTGCATTTATGCACTGAGAAGTATAGATATATAAAGAAATTAAAACCACCGCCGTACACTACACTATGTGATCAATAGTGTGGTCGTGTTTTTCATTGAAGAGGCTTGCACCCCTTGTTGTTTTGTTTGGCAATATCACGGCACAGGCCTAGGTTGAAGTTTTAAATACCTTCTTGCTTTCCACTGTTGAAGAGCAATTCGGGGATGGCTATTGCATCTTTTAACACGAGCACCTGTTCATACTGCACGGCCTGTGGCGGAGTGGTTACACGACAATAACATCCCTGTAATGGACTGGCTTACACAGAGTCCTGACTTGAATCCAATCGAACACCTTTGGGATGTTTTGGAATCCACATTAAAAATGACGTTAGTACAGTTTTTATACTGTTATTATTGTATGTGGTAACTTTATTTATTAATATGCTGTTTTAGAAATATAAATATTTATTGCTATAAATATTTACATTAATTTGCATCTTAGCAAAACAATATGACAATGTCTCAAAGCTCAATAAAGTAAACATTTTCCCGTATCAATTCTTTTACAGTTTTCTTCTTGCTCCTCAATTTTTTGTACATTATTGACCAAATACCTTCTTAGAATTATGAAATTGTTTCCTTTATTGGTCAAGGATTTTGAGAACTACGTAAATATTTTTTAATCTCGGCTTCATCAATCATAACATTACTGTCCTTCAGATATAGTAAATTCTTTTTATGTTCCATATATAGACTATTTATATTACAAATGGATGAATGTATCGAAATAACCATTTTCACTTCTGGCCCTGTGATTAATACCGTTACGTTGCTTTCTCTAAGGGATCTCATTTTAAAATACAATCCTACGATAACGCAAATGAGTTGTTGGCCCCCCAATATCATGAGGTGTCAGAAAATCTAGGTTACATCCACCGTCTTGGAAAATTCGAGTGATAGCCGGCCGAAGCCGTTCTCATGGACGCCCCCCCGCCGACGGCCGAAGCTCCGCAGCATCACCTCGCCGATAACGCGTCGGCCGGCGCGGGCGGCCCCTGGTATGGCCGGGCCCCGCCGCGCACGCAGTCTGGCGGAGTCGCTCGCAGCGCCCGGGCATGGACGCGCGCAGCTCGAGAGGCGCCGGCGAGCGCAGGCGGGGGCGCGGCCCGCTGCTGCTCGTGGGGCTGCGCTTGGTCTTGATGGAGCTGCACTGGGGTAAGTCGTGCGCAGCGGTTGGCGCTGGCCCCGAACACAAACGTTTTATATTTGAATACAATGGTTTGCCATCAAACAGTTTTTGTTCTACAAACGAATCAGCAAGTCAATTGTTTCATCAAAAAAGGAAGTTAAGTCATTAGAGATTTCTTTGCAGACCTTAGCGGTGCTTTAGAGATAAGGCGATCGCTATGAACATATTTTATAAAGGGCTAACATTGAGTTCCTTCAGAATTACAGATGCCATGATTTACGCCCGAACGCCTCAAATATTCAAGAAATATGAAGTCATCCATACACTTAAGTAACTGGAAAAGTTCACTTGCTGATTCGAAAATAAAATAGTTTTTTACACATATACGTGGCGTTGTGCAAGAAGGGCCAATGTCATTATTTAAAGTTTTACAGAAAGTATCGTTTTCGTAGCACATGAAGATGACAAAACAATCGTAGACCAATGTAAATCAATATGAGACTAGGATATAGGAACAACTTTTGGCTTTGGACTTTCGGAACCGAAAGAAGGGACTTTGTAGCACACATTGGTCCTTCTGTACGTCGCCAAAGATATAACAAAGCGAGTGTCATTGTCACTAATTAAAATGGCTTTGTTTTTAGGCCTTGGGAGAATTTGTATCCAAGTACGCAATTTATTCTGTATATTCGGACTCGTGTAAACCAGACTTTTATATTTTTAAATAGTTTGCTTCATGACTAAGCTTCGTGACATTCAATTAAAAACAAAATCTTCATTTACACATATTGTGTATACAAAATAATGAATATAATGTAGCCTCTGAAAACTCATTTCAAGGATTACCTTCAAGTTATTGCGTATTCCAAACTTTTCATTCTGTTTTTAAAATTGTACACTAATACATGGAATTTCGTATTCCGGGTACTGGAAACTGGTTATATACCGGTACTTCAAAATTAATAAAGAAACACTGAATTCAAATGCCGTTATTCTTATGTGTACATCCTGATAAGCTACCGCTAGCGAATGTCAGTGTTTATTACCATATACGTAAAATTTAATATATGAAAGAATGATTTTAAAATTGATTTAAAACAAATGCGACTTACTTAGTTCAGTTTTTAATAACGTCTGTGAATTGCTTATTAAATATTGTTTCAACAGTATGGGGAAAAAGTGTGAATGACTTCTTTTTGGCACTGAGGTAGAAGGAGCAGACACCGTTCCTTTATTTTACTTCGTAAGTCATTGTTTGCTTTTTAAAGAAAATTCTAATTCATTTTCTCGATTTAATTGACTTGCTTCGTGTGGTTTATCGCTGGATTCACGCAAACAGATTCACACTCTGTTTATCGAAACTACTCTTTGAGCTGAACTAAATCGGATGAAGTGAAGGATTCGAGTGGCCAAGGTGCCTCGACTCGATATTTCTAACATACTCTTGTCTGTCAGTGATTTTTTGTTCTTTTCATTCGTGTCGCAAATTCGTAGAACCTCTAGGGATTTTATTGAACATCGGAAAACATTGCAGGAGAGTTTTAAAATTGGCTTTTATACATCCTACTATTGAAATATTATTATTGAGGTAACTAAAAAATGTTAAATTACTTTAAACTAACTGTTTTCTCATGTTTTAAAACGTTTCTCTCCCGAAAGGTGAACGAATATTTCGCAGTGACATAGCTGCTTTTTTGCAGGCATCAATGTAGAGAACTTGTCAAAACTTGTCGTTTGAACTTGACCACATCATATTCTCGGTAATTATTAATATACATTGAAATTTGCATCATGTCCGAGGTCATAAACTCCAGTCCGAGTCTCTGTGGACAGAAACGCACTATTTTTAACTGAGATCTTGATTCATTTTTATATCAGTTTTATGTTGTTAAGAATTTTTGATCTAGACAGGAATGCAATTGAACCACATAACGTAGTGACGCGTGTGAAATAACGTGCGATTTCATAAACCAGAAAATTATGTTTAAAAGTTGTGAAACAACTACTGAATGTTCAAAGTCCTTGTATGCGCAGTCGTCATATTCTGAATTGATATCTGTAAAAAGTGTTTAGGTCTCAGTATAATGAAAATTGTTTGGTTGTACATTAAAAGTGAAGGAGCTTGAAAAAAAAAACATACATATTTACTTTCCCGTGCTTGGCGAAACAAGTCAAATACGTCAGTGGTGTACGATCAGCCCGCTAACATGTTTCTTTAATCTTCCAAGACCTCGTTTCGGAAGTCATGAATAGCGCTGGTTGCTCACTTGCATGAAGGTCAAGGAGACTGTTGTTAACTTCGAGTATCAATGTAACTCTTGAAATGGAAAGCTTAAGATTCAGTACACCACATTTTCAACTAATACTTCGAATAAATAATAACACTAATACCCTAACTTGAAAAAAGATGTAATTTCAGACTTTATACAAGTAGAAAAAAATTCGATAGCAAAATTAAGTATATTTGTTTTGTTAATTGTATGAGAATGTACTATTAAACCAAATAATGCATCAACACGTTATTGAAGTTACGATATCGATATCTATCTCGCGATAAAATGTAAGTAAAACCTCATTTCAATAGTAAAGTGTAAGAAAGGGATTTTTTTGTAATTTGATTCTATATTGTAAGTACTTTTGCAAACATTTCAAGGCCAACATTTTGCACGATATTTGTGGCTTGTGTGCGTTACATGAAGAGTAGTAGACATTAAAAATTTATGAACGAAGAAATACAGGAGCTGTTGCGGTGGATGTGCCAGACGTATATGGTTGCGGTGTGCCACCAGCCGTCTGTCCGAACGAAAACATCACCTTTTGGCTATACACACGGTAAGTTGCCAGCACTGACAGAACCCTACACCAGCGATTCCTAAAATTGAATCCACTGGATTTCTCACAAATACCGTTACACTTCCCACAAAAATATTTTAAACCCAACTTCAAACTAATTTTTAATGAAAATGCAATTTTAATGTCAATTTGGGCTCAACGGGCGACAACAGGTTTTTGAATTCAAAGACTAAAATTGATTTCCTAACTCCCAACTTTTCCGTTTTACGCCCATTTTCCCCTTGAACTGTTCACAGTTCTTCTAACATACGAAAATTAGCTTGTGTGTTCACAGTGATTAGGTAAAATCAGGAGAAAGTCTTTTGAAGAGTTCAGTGACCAACACTTATTTAGAAGAGTTTCAGTAGTCTTTTATTTTAATTAATAACAGGACTGGCATATTTCATCCAGGTTAATTTCGCGGGATTTATTAAATTCTGCCGACGATTAATAAATTCTTCTTAAACGTTTTATGGAAAATATTGTTGGTAGATGTGAATAGGTTGGAAACAACTGACACCATGGAAACAACCAACTTGAATTCATTTGGACAGTATACATAGATTTTGTTGATGTATGGTAGTTTTCCCCAACCAATTGTACACATCCAACCAATTGCACACTCCTGACCAATTTTACACTCCCAACCAATTGTACACCCCTAACCAATTGAACATCTCCCAACTAATTGAACAATTGGTCATCCGTCCACACTACTGACCAAAGTTGACTGGGTGAGTTTAGGTCAGCGCCAATGTTGCCTCTGTCACGGCAGAGAATCTGACATGAAGGTCCAAGGGTTAGAGTTGCGACTGTGGCGGTGGCGGACCAGTACATAGAACGTATGTCTGCAAGAGTTGCTTGAAATTTTAAAGTAATTAAGACAAACAAACGTAAATAGATATGTAGACTAGAAATATATATATATATATATATATATATATATATATATATATATATATATATATATATATATGTTTGGCTGTCTGCAGAATAATTAAAGTGGCCGGCTGCTCTGAACGATAGCTTTCCGTGGTTTATTCAACCAATGCCGGATGATGCCGGAGCAGTAACTTAACAAACGGACCACGAGCGATCTTTCCTTCATTTTTAGCATAAACTTTCCCCTTACACTTACATGCAATACATTTCCACACATGTCAAGAAAGTAGTCGGGAGCTTAAAGTGACCGGGCGGGGCGGTGCCCCGCTGACCGGAAATATCTGGAAGGTGAAATCTCCCGCAAGCTAACGTGTAGGTCGGCACCGGATCTTACCATTCAGTGGGGAAGGTACGCTTCCATCTCCCAGGAACATTCACTACTCTAACGTGTCTAATGTTCTTAGCAGTTGACGAGTCCGGCACATCAATTAATCCAAACAGACACCGAACTATTGCGCCCCTTAAACTACTGAAGACCCACCAAGCTATTGTACCCCTTAAAATATTGTCGCCCCAACTTTGCGTATTATGTACCGCAAGTAAGAGTTTTGACACTCTTAATTGTGAAATCCTACCCTGCACAAACCCCTGTTTATATGGCTTTACCCCCACAATTAGGAGGTTATTAGGGTAACTTTGTTGCATTAAAACATAAGTGTGCTGGAGGATTACTTCAAACAATTTCCTGAATAACATAACATATATTTGAGTCTGATAAAACTTTTGATTGCTAATGCATTGAAAATTATATTGCGTGATATTTAGCCATCTCATCAATAAACATATATATTATTCTAGTCTACATATCTATTTACGTTTGTTTGTCTTAATTACTTTAAAATTTCAAGCAACTCTTGCAGACATACAGAAAATACAAAATATTTCATACTTAATTTTCACTCATTTAACTCGTGTAGGTAGACTCTCATGATTCCACAAGTATCCTAGAACGCATGAATTGTAGAACCAACCAGTCATCAAAGATTAGATGGAATATCGGAAGCTAAAACTTGAATGTAAGTTCAACTCCGACATACATACCTTCCATACATATATGCAAATTTAGAAAGAAAAATGGATTATCTAATGGAGAATGACAGCTTCTTGACAGTTTCTTGTTAAATTCTGACGGCAACTGCATTTGACATTGCTCTTGTAGTTAACGCTACATCGACATTATTCCAAGTCCAAGGACTCTTTCCTTATAAACCTAATCTTATCGCTTTGTGAGAATTGAAGTTTAAACAATGTTTCTCCTCGTTTTATTATTCCAGCAGAAATATGTGATTTTATTGGGCTTGTAAGTCGGTGTAATAGGTTTTATAAATTTCTTTTCTGAACATTGCTATGTATCGAATGATGGAACATTGGCATTTAAAATGATTGAATTAAGACTACTAATTTCTCTCATATATGATGCAATCTCTTGGAGATGAATATTTTATATTCAATTAAATAATCATTGTGCGTTGTCTTTCCAAACAACGTTTCAGTGAGATCAATTGTATTTTATGACCATTACCACTAATATCTCTCATTGTCTTTTAATAAGTAGATAATTTTGGTGTGTTTTTTTAAGTTTGCCGCATACAACGAATAGGTCGGGGTGTGAACGCAGGCCACTTCATCTTCTACATTATCTTGAAAATGTTTTTCAGTAATAACTAGGACATTGGTCACTCTTTGAAGAACGGCGGCATGAGTGATGTTTAAACAGAGGTTAAAATAGGCAATGAAATTTCAATTGAAATATTTTTCTTACTATCAACTTGTCATCTAGGCTGCAAAGAAAACACCGAAAATGAAGGATTATGGTGGAACTCTGAAATATTCTGCACACTCATGTAGAATATCACGATATCATATTCCGTTTTATTTGTTTTTTGTTTAAACATTATTGATGAGATATATATTCTGAAAAAATGTAGTTTACCCGAGATTATACGGAAAGAGAAATGAATGAACATTCACAACGTATTTTAACTTTCAGAAAAAGAAGTTGTTAGAGGTATATTGGAGTAAGTATCCTAAAGTAGATTAATCATTCACGAGATACAGAGTGTTTATTCTATCATTCGCCGAAGATTCGGACCGCGTCGCCCGGGAAGTCGAGGGCTCGTTCGCCCAGCGAAGCGCCGACCCAACTCCCGTGCTGACGTACGAGAACTATCGCTGCGCCGTTTAACTTGCCTTAAAGAAGATGCTGAAAGTGGTGTCTTTCTAAAATGTTCTAGTAGGGGTAGAATGCATTATAGACCTCCGGAACATATTCTGATTTACCCTTTGAAATAAGTCTCGAGAAATAGCTGTGATTATTTTCTCAATAGATCGCCGGAGCTTTTCCTCCGAATGCTGAGTTTCTGCATTCACCTGATCTCACCAGTACCCCAAAGGAAAAAGTCATAAGGAATCAGATCAAGTGATCTAGGAGGCCATAACCCACGACTAATTATTCCATTGGCACTATATACATTATTTAAAAAGTTAATGGAAACAGAAGCAGTTCCAGAATGTATAGCAGTTGTTGTAGTGAGCAGTTGCCGAATCCTGTTGAAAGTAACAATAGACGCCTCAAAAATTTTCGTGGAGATTGTTATAACTTGGTAGAGATTTAATTTAACATTCTCTTCTGTCAGGATATGGCACTTTGGACACTTTTGTTTGTCAATTAAAATTCGATGGCTGTGAAGTTTCTTTACATGCTTCAAAATTGTCGATCTATATGGAATATTCACGCTCGGACATTTCTTAATAAACCTCGTGCGGCACTTACTGGCAGACTAAGTCGAACGAAAGTGCCGTAAAGAAATGTTCTCTGCTTCAAAGAAAATTTCATGAGCGTGTGGAGCGCTCTGGACACTGGTTGTCGGCTGGTTGGCCGAAGGGCGAACGCGCCGGAGGAACTGGGTCTTGTTGACAAGTTCCCGGGGAACCGACGGCTCGATCGCTGAGGCAAGCGGCGCGTCATCTTCGGCGAAAGATGAAATAAAAACCCAGTACATTTTAACGGCTGGAGATATTGAAATGAAATCTACTCATTATTGTTCATTTGAAGCGCAGATACAATCCAGGCGAAAGGCTCTAATTTTTGGCTTATGATTGTTATTCTTGAGTAATCATTGCTAGCGACAAGAAGAATTTCCGTAGTATGGGAATTATTACAATAATTTAAAAATAATTTTAATAATATATTTTGAATTTTAACGACCTTTATTAGTACATGTGACATTGTTTTATGTATTATGATTTTATTGAAGATGTAGGGAGCCTCAAAACATTTATCGATCATCTTTATAAGACATTTTGAAAATTTTATCCAGATATTAAACAAAACAAAAGCCGGAGTGTTTTTAATACAAATGCGAAGGGAATTCATTTGTGAGAAGTTTGTCTCATCCTTCCCTCTTGATTGCACGGCAAAACGGAAAGTCTTAAATAATAAAGACCAATAGTTCACAATGAGGACGCTCGCTACAGCTCTGGAGACGCTGGTGCAAATGGAGGTTTTCTTCCAGGGCAGACCTGGAGCCGCAGCTGTTGAGTGTCTCCGATCCCTCGTCGCTAGCGAACGCCCGCTTTGCAAGTGACTCTTTCAAGATCGTCATCCATGGCTACACAGGCAGCCGGAACTACACCCCCAATCCAGAAATACGCCCAGGTAAGGAAAAGCTATTGAATTCGTTATACTAATACATTACTCATTTCTTGAAAATGTCTACAGGCCAGTTGCACTTATCGGTAGTTTTCCGTGGTTTCTCCGATCAACACCAGGCGAATACCGGAGCACTACCCTAAGAAAACGGGCTACGGACCGCGCGCGATGCTTCCTTCCTCTTCCTTGTCCTTTCCTCGCCTCTTACAAAGACATGCACAATACCACCATATGTGTCGGGGGCTTACAGCTTGTCCTGGCTAGGGTAGTGTACCGCTGAAGGGAGAAACCTCTTTGGAACTACCCCCCCCCCCGCGCAGGCTGACGCAGGTCGCATTTCGCCAGCGGAACCATCACTACCTCCCGCTATTAAAAAATCCTTGAACTACTAATGACCATAGCAGTTGACACGCCCGGATTCACAATTCAATCATTTTTAATGTAATTTTAAAATTTTTGTTTACACGCGTCTTGTTGGCAAAGGAGGTCTGGGCCATCGGACAATTGGATCAATGCCAGAGAGGAGCGGATTCGATTAAAAATGAATTCACAACACAAAGTATTTTTACAGAGAATACAGCTTTATTTAGATATAGCGCTAATTTTCAAAGATATTCCAAAATGTTTAAATTGTTGATCTCATCGATTTTTAAGTAGAACCTATGTTACGATAAATCACATTAATACAGAGTGACCTGTTTTACTCCTTAAACTCATGGATTCGTCACTGGATAACCGTAAACCGTTTTCCTTCAGCCTTTTCTCGCAGAATGCACAGTTACTTTTAATGTTAGTAAAGCATTTTTTAAATTCTGGAACACGGGGTACTCCCCGACAACCTAGTATAGATGTGCCCTGACATAGGCTCTCCTGCCGAACACCTCGGCATGACGTGTTCCTGCAGGGATTCGTATTGGAGATAAACCTGGAATGCAAGAGGTAATAGTTGATAATGCGCGTATTGCTGTCTTTTGTTTTATTTATTTCATTATTTAACATGAAAAAACAGTTAAGAACTGTGTACAACGTGGTATGGGGAGAAGTGTCGCCAGTGTTCAACCAAAAACACCGCAGGGTGCGTGTAATTCCTGCCAGAATGCTAGCATGCTATTGTATTATTGTATACTAACTGTTATAATAACAATACACACAATAGAAAATTGATTTATTATTATTATTATTATTATTATTATTATTATTATTATTAAGACGGTAATATTTGAATTTTTGGTTTTGAAACTTAACGCAGCTACTTTGACTTTCATGTATGCAGCTTATCTACAACGAGCCGACTACAACGTGATATCTGTGGATTGGAGCCCCTTGGCCCGGGAGCCCTGTTACGTGCAGGCGACCTACACCGTGGCCACTGTGGGCAACTGTACGGCGCAGCTGCTGGACTGGCTGGTGGGCGAGGGGGTCACAACGCTGGACGCCGTGCACGTGGTCGGCTTCAGTCTCGGGGCCCAAGTGGCCGGTCACGTGGGGCTATTTTTGCAGAGCGGTAGACTTCCGCGCGTCACAGGTAGTGTTTCCTCTGATTTGTGCTGTCCGCTGCTTCTGAGTGGTGCGTTGATGTTGCGGGAACGTTGGCCAGTAATGATACGCTAAGAACTTAACGGACACGTTGAAACGAAATTCGATGCACCGTCGAATTTCATGTTTCCAATATTGACGTTTTCCTAAAGTTGTATTTGTGTAAACAACGTCGATGTCCGATATATACCGTAACGAGTAATGACAAATTAGTATACCAGCATGGGTATTATTGACACGAAAAGGTCGATAGAATTAAAAAAGGATAGATATGAAATTTGAAATAAATCACGACACATAATATCAACAAGGATGATTGAAACATATTTTTCCGTACGTGATTACAGTGTCGTTACGTATCAGTTAATTAATATCTTCATTCATCTCCATTTCTTGCAGTTATCTTTATAGGATATAACTACTTCTTTCAAGAAAAGTATGTAGATTATTCTAAAGAGCCAAGACGTTTGCTTCGGCGTACAAAATCGTTGCCTCGGCGCTCGTGTGCATGCGGTCTTCGCATTAGCAAGGGGCAAAACTTACAGATATCTTGCAAAGACTGCATCACGAGATCGCCAGCCTTTCAATTATAGGCGACTGATTTTTAAATGCAAAATTCCCATGTATATCTGGTTTTTTAAGATTTTTGTGATCATGTTCTACTAAGTGGGTGTAAAATTATGTAAATAGATTTATTGGATTTATTTAGTCAAAAAACAGTAAAAACTGTATGTGACGTATGGGAGAGAAGATCATCTACGCACATTTTCTGGAGTTCCCATTATTCAGGGTCTTTACTTATGCAGTACTAAATATAGTGTTAGCAGTTCCGTCAAGTGGTCAAAAATGTTTACTTTTCATTATAAACATGTAAAATAGCGCATATCTAAATATTACAAACTTGAAGAGCATGTAGGGGTCCCGAAGGTGATCACTTTTTGTGACTAGACATGTGGTAGGAAATTTTATATTCATAGTAGGTGTGACATTCGCTCCTGATTGGTAGGGAGTTCATTATGTACTGGTGCTCGAAAGGTCTTTTATTTTTTTATTTTATTTTATTTAATGTCGCATCAACTACTAGGTCATTAGCGACCACTATTGCTTGTAACGGTATGGTAACTGTGGGTTGACACGATAATGATGATAGGGGGTGAAAGGACGAAACACAATACAACCATGCCCGAGGCGGAACTCGAACCCGCGATCCTTCGGTCCGAGTTCGCTTCGGCAATATGCCTTAGCGATCTCGGCCACCGGATCGGCTACGAAAGGTCTTGTTCAGAGACAGTGAAGAGTTTTTGTGTGCCTTTCGAACACCAGTGCATAATATGTTGCATACCAATCAGGGGTAAAAATCACACGTGTAACTTTATGGCATGAAATTTCCCATCATATGTTTATAGACACACAGTGGTCGCCATCGGTTACCCTTCACGCTCCCGCAGTTCGTAACATTTTGAGGCAACGTGTATAAAATCTAATTTTGAAGGCACGTTTTGTTTCATCTGTTTTCACACATTGTGCGAAATGCTCTTCTACTGCACGAATGCGCTGCACCACTCTAACATATGCCGCAACCCTTTCCATTTACTCTACAGAAGAGTAGGAAGGCAGTTCGCACCTCGCCGTGCTACCTCACGCACCTCATACCCAGATCGCGACGAGCTTATTCGCGAAGGAAAACTATTTTACTTTTTATAAACAAACGAGTCGGTAGAGTGCTTCCTGAAAATCAGAAACAAGTTTTCGACGATGATACCCGCGAGTCCGTGATCTTAAAGTCATCAATTACAATTTAATCTGACTGATTTTACTCTACGGAGTGTTACTTTCTTACCTGCAGCGGATTTTTGACACCTGCGACTTAGCTGGGTAGAATTCAACCACCGTCTGGAGACGAATTGAAGCAGCAGGCTGATCTGATCAGTGTTTTTCGTGGTTTCTCTCAATACCAGCCGAATGGCGGAGCAGTATCTTAAAAAACTGCAACTCGGACCGAACGCGATCTTTCCTTCCTCAATCACAGAGATAAGGCTCCGATGGGGATTACCTGCTGGGGGAAATTCCGCAAGTCGACGTGTAATCGGTGACGGATCTCGTGTTCCATCGGGTAAGGCACACAGCCACCAGTCAGTACATAAAAAGCACTACTCTTGATGGACTAATGGTCGTTGTAGTTGACGCGCCGCCCGAAAAACTGTATACTCATTCACTCACTTTTCTGCTCCACAAACAGTAAGGAAGGTGTCTCAACATTGGTTTGTAGATTTGATAATAGATTCCTAAGATAGTCTATTTCATGAACTTTCGTATGTACGTGTAACATGGTACGAAGTATGGGAGTGGTGTTAATAACACATCCAAACTCAACTAAAATATTCGGAGACGGGAATATATGAGTTAATGCAGAAGACGAAGGCATTGTGATCAACGTCTTGAAGACGGGCTCGCGAATCGGCAGTTATATTTTTTTGAGCGTTATCCTGTTAAAATGTCCCACCCTGCGTGTTAACTCGAGTTAGGGAAATTGATTAAAGACCTCAACGAATCGCAAAGCTATTAAAGTTTACGTTGTTAATACGAGAAATGATTCCATCGAAGAAAATCATGGCCCCCTCACCATGACAACAGACAGGCCTGGAAGTAATTCTTTCACATGCACCTGTCTGACAAAAGTTCGAGAACACACGATTATTCATGAAGGGTCTAACTACTTGCTGGATATCCCAAGTGTGAATGTTTTTTTTAGAGTTTGGCGTAGAATTCTACCGTCCTCGAGCCGACCTCCAGAATTGGAGATAACGTGCTATAGTAACTTCAACACGATTCAGAACCTGAGCGATGCTTCTAATAACCAACCAGCTTGAAGATGCGACCACGTTGAAACACATTTACCTGTTTGTACACACTGTGAACTATACGCCGAAGCAAATGCAACTTCTCAGACCACAACCATAATAGATTCACAGCGTTTTGAGGTTCAATTCGAATGTACTTCGAATGTACAGCCGAGAATCAGCTCAGTAAATAGAAGCTCTAGTGGCGTCCAACGGTCCGTTGAATGGGAAACAATACTCATTTTCATGTTCAACAATTTGGAATTTCCACATTGAATTTGAATTTGTTCAGATTGTCTTTTAGATGCAACGGTTATTGTCTTGCAGGCTTAAATACCTCATTTTGAGAGCGAGGAAACTTCGCTCACTGCGCTGCTTATGATCAGGTTATCCCAAACTATCCCTCCTTTTCTTAGTTGGGGCCAGGGATCAGAGCGGGCCACGCGTCATTTCCTCAGAATAAACAACTAATATTTGCAGCACCTGTCTCTATGAACATTGACGAAATGACTCTCGATGTCCAACAGTAGTAATAACTCCATTCCACAAAAAATAACGTTTGTAAACTATTTATTAATTTTAAAACGTTCTGTGAAGAATTTTGCCACCTACGATTATCGCATTTGCATAAGAATAATGCTAATTTGAGTATTGTCTGGACGAGTTTTGTGTTGCGACTTTTTTTCTAAAAGGGACTTCGAAATCCTTCGAGAGAAATATTCCTCTGTACATACCTAAGCAAGACTAATACACAATCTTACAAAGACAGGTGGGCCGTAGGATGTTTTGAATTTTAAATTAGGAAAATATTGATACGTTAGCCCGTACCAAAAATCAGCGGCCGAAGAAATAAGTGTACGCAATATGTGTATCACTTCAAGTTTCGTAATTTGGGAAATTAATATTCGAGAGCATGAGAAGAAGTAAGCGTGATGCATTAATAAACATACGTAGTTGCAATTTTTAGTACATAGTTTAATAAAATTAATTAATACTATTGTAAAGATTGCATTATGTACAAAGTGTTATTACTGGAAATCCTTGCATAGTAATCCGGAAATCTGTGTGTCCGTCACTCACGATTTGACCACTTCCGTTTGATTTGTCCACCAGCTGAGACAAATGAGGGGTCATTCAACATTCCTGATGAATCACTCATCACTTTGTTCCCATTCATCCAGAAAGTAATTTCTCTAAAACCGACGTGTTTGTGTGTTTTTAAGGAAGTAAATTGCCTTTTGGATGGCTTAAAGTACCTACAGAGGTGATTAGTAACTCATTCCATTCATCTCGATAAGATAAGTTGATATTTCTTAGCCAAATTCCTTCAGGAAAGTCATGAAGGGGATATAACCACAAAATTCAACGCCATGGTCTTCTCAAAAAATTTTCGACACAATGTTTATTTCCAAAACTTCTAAAGAAATCCTGAGAATAATCAGTAAACTAAAAACAAATATTCACCTGGTTTACGTGAATTTCCGGATTGTTTATTGAAAACTTCAGTACCTGCGTTTATACACCCATTAACTCACATTTTCAATGCTTCTTTATGCACAGAAATATTTACAGATATTTTCAAAACTCCAGAACCTGCAAACTCCAGTTAAATCAGCGATGACGATTCAATATAATACTCTCTTCAAATTCTTCTCTTGAAATGGCATATACCATTCTCCAATGGAATATAAATGGCTTTTGTCCACAAAAAAATACTTTGCTACTACTAATTAAACAAGTACAACCCTGATATGATCTGCCTAAAAGAAACAAATAATAAAATCAACCAGAAACCACCATTAAAATATTAAAATTTGTGTTTAAAAAACAGAACAGATGCAAACATAGCTAGTGGTGGGGTAGCCATCGACACAATGTCATCTCATAAAGTAAATGGAATTCAACATAATTCCACCCTTGTATGTGGTGCATTCATGATTAATCTCATAAATATGCCGATAAGATATGTAATGTATATCTCCCCCGCAGTCATGCGTTTACTGCTAGTGAACTGACTCGCTTAATAAATCAACTCCCAGGGCCATTTATCCAATTAGGTTACTTCGACAGTCACAGTTTTATGTGGGCATCACCCAAAGAGGAAAGATGTGAGAACAAATATTGGATGATACTAATATTAATACTCAAT